ATGAATCCTAAGCACTAGGCAGTTCTCTAATTTTTCCATTGGCATTTGGGGAAGGGCAAATGTGATTCTCATTGTATTTAGTAGATGTGCCATTTTATTCGTAGGGCAGTTTGCACCTACATAGGAGTTGAGGCATATGCTTATCATGTTGCGTAACTTGTGTTATTTATCACAACTCACACCATGTACCTTTTGAAGACGCCATGTACCTTTTGAGGTAATATTTAGTAGATATTTAAACACTTTCAAGGTCTTCTATGCTGAGTCTGTCCAATTAAACCTCAAATAATCTGGAGGCAAATAAACTTTAAAAACAATGCTGTAATAGAATTAATGACAACAAACTTTATACAAGCAGCAAGTCCTCGAATGACGTCATTTCACAATAATGTGGACATGAAAAAAAACATTCTTAGCTGGAGCCATTTTCTGTGTGGAGTTTGCATGTTCTCTCCATGTCTGGATGGGTTTTCTCCAGGTACTCTGGTTTCCTCCCACATCCCAAAGCTGTGCCTGTTGGGTGCGTTGGTGTGTCTGTATGGCCCCAGTCTAAGCGAGTGTGGGTGTGTGTGAGCATGCCCTGTGATGGGATGGAGGTCTGTCCCAGGCTGGTTTCTGCCTTGCTGGGATAGGATCTGGCCATCCAGGACCCTGAACTGCAATAAGTGGGTAAATAATTATCTTACTTGTTTTTATTAATCTTTCTTAAATGTATGTATAGCTCACATTTATTTCAATATTTAATATTAGAAATGTTTTGGTCTTTATTTAGAAGTTTGGTGATGTTTTTGTGACCAGAAATATGCTGTAGGTACTTAATTCTTTTTTATAATCAATTAGCAAAACTGGTTTTGTTATACATCCTTTTGCCTAAAGTCATAGTTTCCAAGAACCTATCAAAGACCTTAAGTGAAGACTCACTGTATTGGAAAATATTAGACTCTATGATATATAATGAGATAACTCAAAATCAACTCAAATTTATTATGTATCTAATATGTGCCAAATATTATGACAGGTACTTGCATAAATAATTTTATTGAATCCTCATAACTTCATTTTAACAGGTTTTCAAATTGAAGGTCAGAGAAATCTGGACATATGATCAAGCTGGTAAGATTTGGGGTATCTGATTTGGGCTTTACTGTATGCTATTGCCTTCTCATCTACATAGTAAACATGCTTTTAAGCTCTAAACTACTTAGGTGTATTCAAATGTTTCTCCAGAAAGATTTTCTTTTGACATTAGAGAAATAAGCCAAGCTTTTTTCATTCTTACTAACGTAATATTCCAAGTCTCCAACCTCAGGACAATTTCTAGTGCTATAACTGTATTGTATAACATGAATGAAACACAAACATAAGGCTTGACCATGTTTATATTAAAAGAGATAAAATCAAATAAAAATTGAAATTGTTATTCTCTTTCAAAAGGGAAGTATAAAAGGATTCTTCAAAAAGTAGATACTTAGGTGCATTATCTGCTTTAAAATCAATTGTTATTTTACAGAAGGGGTTAACATAGAGAACCTTAACTCTGAAGTATTATTATACCAACTAAATGCTTATTTTAAATGAAGCCAAATCATCTTTGGCACCACAATGAAAATAATTGAAATTTGACATTCAAATTTTCAGAAATGCCACAGCTATATCAAGTGCAGTATTCCTTGACTTTGAAGAGCTTTGCAAAAATGCACTTATCAGGAATAAGAACATCTTAGTCACTAATAACGAAATTAAACTATTGGATTCTACTTTAGTCTTTTGTCTCCTTATCTGTTTCATGTCCCAAATCTGATTGAGATGTACTCTCTTCAGGCCACCAAGCCAGTAGGTATGAATGAAGCCTTTCACCCTAGAACACACCTGAAATACTTTTTTTTTTTTTTTTTTTTTGAGACAGAGTCTCACTCTGTTGCCCGGGCTAGAGTGAGTGCCGTGGCGTCAGCCTAGCTCACAGCAACCTCAAACTCCTGGGCTCAAGCAATCCTTCTGCCTCAGCCTCCTGAGTAGCTGGGACTACAGGTACGTCCCACCATGCCTGGCTAATTTTTTTTTATGTATTTTTAGTTGTCCGATTAATTTCTTTCTAATTTTAGTAGAGACGGGGTCTCGCTCTTGCTCAGGCTGGTCTCGAACTCCTGAGCTCAAACGATCCACCCACCTCGGCCTCCCAGAGAGCTAGGATTACAGGCGTGAGCCACCGCGCCCGGCCCTGAAATGCTTTTAAATGTCAACTCTTGTTCCATGGTCATAAAGCTGGGTTGCATATGCATGCACAGCACCCAGTGTTCTTGCCCTCAGGTTGTGTTTTGAGTCCTGATAAAGTAAACAAATAAGCTGCCTTTTGGAAACTCAGCTTTTTCCAACAGGGGCCAAAAGAGGATAACACAATAAATGCTCCATTGCTTTCTTAGGCTAACCTTATTCATAAAGCTATATTTTGAGCATGACTTTTATTTTATAATTTGACTTATGGTCTACCTGCACACGTGGACTCACTCTAAGGATCATGAACATAAACATCAGTCCACATGTTCCCTGCTAAGATAACACAAGTAGGTTAATGGAAATCATGGAGTGTAATGAAGAATAATCAATGTACCTTTCTTCTTTTATCAAATATCTTTTTATTTGATTTTCTTAGGAAGCCAGGCCTATGGATTATAGTGAGGGAGGCTAAAGTATTGGCTGTTTCCAGATGACTATGAATGTTTCACTCTCAAATGTGGGGAAAAGGAGATGGGGAACTGCAAGAGGTACCAGCACCAAATGGACAGAACCAGTGAAACGTTTCTGTCGTCAAAACAAATTGCTGTGCTTAATATCTTCTGAAAATTATTTATGAAGCTCTTATGAGTTTTAGAAGTAGTGTAGTTTATTTAAAAATTTACTAAATTGCAAGCTTTCTCTATAAATGTTCAGCTTCTGAAATGACTCTGTTTTTAGCACTCATTTGCACATTTGGCCTTGTTGTTTTATATCTTAGTACTCTAACAAGATTTACAATTCCTTGAGGATAAATTTCTTGTTTTATATTACTTAGTATTTCCTATATTTTATCTACTTTTATGGTCAATAGAATCTGAAAAAGTCTATGAGTTAGGTTTCAGGTGATCAATGCACTCTCTGAAATTGTGTGTTAAATTTTGTCATATAAGTGCATAAACATTTTTCTAGGGCAGGGTGCACTGACTTTTTAATGTTTTCAAAGAGGTCCAAGATCAAAAAAGTTTAACTACAACTGCTTTTGTATAGGTAAGGATCATTGAACATTTGTAGAATGATAAATGGAATATTTCTTTCATCTTCAGATAAAATCTTTCAATATTTTGTGTCTACCATATTTTCATTCATGTTTTCCTGTTGCATTCAGAATTATAGAATGCTAGAAGTGGATAGAAAGTTTTAAGGCATGTAGTCCATTGCCCTTACAAAAGAGAAAATTGATACCAAGTAAGGTTATATAACTTCTGTGAAGATATTAAATTAGTAAAAACAGAAATGGGAACAGAAAGAACATCTTCACATTTTCAGGCTAATTCTGACTTGATATCAGTAAAAGATCCAGGAAAAAGGCAAACTGCTCAGCAAGATTTATTTAGAATATGTGATTAGCTTCATTTTGCCAGTGAGACTTTCATCACCATCCTCATCACCATTGTTTTCCATATTATCATTATATTCTCTCCAGAGATTTACATGTTTGCCTACAGCAAAAAGATTTAATTCTGATCAATTTTCCTCTTCTCTTTCCCCTTCCCCATCAAATAAATAATCTGTAACTAAGACAGAAGATATCCACTTGAAGACATAGCCTGGCGTGTTTTATTTAACATATCCATAAGCTTAACCATCAAAAAAAAATGTTCTAACCTGAATGTCATAGATAGTGAAAGGAGACAGGTCTCTCAGAATAAACGACCCAGACACATTCATTCCAGTCTTGTAGAGCTTATTATTTACATAGATAGAATACTCAGTGACAACGCCATTTGGGTTTGAAGGAGATGTCCAGATGACACGTACAGCTGTACTGTTGATGATGACAACCTCTGGAGGAAGCATGCCCTGAGGCTCTAGAATTAAAGGAAGAAACTGAATAAACTCCAGCTGTCTCTGAAAAAGCACTTGTTAAACTAAATGCAGATTAGTATTTAGGTTTAGCAAAGCGTTCGTTGCTTATCTGCTTTTCTCTGATGGAGTTATCACAGTCTGTAGTCCTCTGTAAATTGGCTTATTAGACTCTCAGTTAGAAACCATAAGAATTGGTGGTAAAATGCTTTGTATCACCAGCATAGTGCTAATCTTCAATACTATGTGACCAGTGGGATATGATGATAAATTATTCACCCAACTGCATCACTAGCACGTATCTATTATATGTCTTTTTTTCCATCTTTTAACTCCATACCTCCCAGGTGCGGGCAAGGAGGGAAGGAAAGACAATTTGCACCTTAAGCAAAAAAAAAAAAAAAAAAAAAAATTCAAATACATTGAGGCTGGTGGAACGTGAAAAATCATTTGATGTTACTAGCTTGTAACTCAAGCAATACGAAGCAATAATGCAATATTGTCATTATGTAAATGATTTTGAATGTTGATTACCATAGGTAATGATGAAATCTAACATAAGAAAAAAATCTTGCTTAGCATTAAATTACACAATTATTCAAGCATGTCAGAAATAACTATGCAAAGACCTATTTTTATCATCAGAACCCATCTTAACTAGTTGAAAAATTGTCCTTGTGATCCATCCTATTTTACAAACAAAAGGTGCCGACCTTTGGCATCAAAAAGGGAAATGGTTTCCACACTTAAAGAGCTCTGCTAATGACCTGGAACACTTGCTTGGGAGGTAATGATATTATAATGTTTATAATGAGACTTTATAAAGCCAAAAAGATTAGAAAGACCATTCCAAACACATTTCAGATTCACAAGTTGCTTCCCTTGCTTCCTCCTCCTTGCTAACTGGCTTAGAAATGAGTCTCAGGCAATTTTTCTCAGTGGCTGAACTTCTACCTATCATTTCTCGTGACTCAGGTCTCCCTCACTGCGTTTGGCTGTCGTTTCGAAAAACAGATTGCCGTTGAGAGCATATCTTAAAAAAAAAATGTTTCTAAATGTCACCATTTTATTGATGTAAGCTCAGCTCCAAAATAAGCAACACACTGAAAAGAACAGGAACAAACTGGGCTAACGTTCCATTATTAGAGCCTTGTGCTGCCGTCTCAACGGGACCACTTATTGATCCGCTACTTGACGACAGCGAGCACTTAAGCATTTTAGCCCGGGCCCCCTTCCCTCCAACACCGGAAATTTTACAATGGAGGGATGACTGATCTCAACCGCAGCAAGAATCAATCAATTCCATTCGCATCTCTGTGGCCACGTATCCTTAGAATCTGGACTCACCCCCATCGCAGGTGGTGGCCTTCAGTACTGCACTGTTGATGCTGTGGACTCCATTGAAGACAGAGATAAAAACCCGATACTCTGTGTTTGGATTTAAGCTGTCAATGACATGTGAGTTTACATCTGGGAAGACTTTAAGAGATTCATTTGAGGTAGCAGAACTCCAAAAAAGTGTATAATATTCAACATCACCTTGTAGGTCTTGAAAACCTGTTAACAATAAAAGTAGGACAAAAAATGTAAATGTGGCGGATCTAAAAGGGTCTCAGGGGAAAAAGAGAATAAATTCTATTGTTAGTTTTTTTTTTTTTTTAGAGACAAGGTCTTGCCTTGTTGCCCAGGCTGCAGTGTAGTAGCGCAAAGCCATAGCTCACTGTAACCTCAAACTTCTGGGCTCAAGGTGATCCTCCTGTCTCAGCCTCTCATGTAGCTGGGATGATAGGTAGTGCACTCATTTTTTAAAAAGCTTTTGTAGAGATGGAGTCTCACTATGTTGTCCAGGCTGGTCTCCAACTCCTGGCCTCAAGAGATCCTCCCACATTAGCCTCACAAAGCACTGGAATTATAAGAGTGAGCTACTGTGCCCAGACTCATTAGCTATTTTTAGAATGGAAAAAAAGGCAGCTTATGGAACCTTTTATTTGGAAAAGTTAAAAAAGCTTATGGATCCTTCCTTTTGATGGGGCTGGTGGTGATAGTTTTTTTCTTTTTTTAAGAAATTTGAAATTTTTTCCATCCTATTATTAATTACAAAGAGCCTCATATAAGAATATGAATGTTCTAAAAGTCCCATAAGCTTTTAAATTTCCATTAAATATTTTAATCTTGCTACTTACAATTATTCAACTAATATTCAAAACTTTGACATAACACTTAAGAAAGAA